TGTGTGTACATTAATGAGGAAAAAATGAACTTAAATGATTTTAGCATATGGCTGCAATACAACAAAGAGTGAAAAATTTAAGGGGGTCTGAATACTTTCCGTACCCACTGTATATTGGTTTATTGGTGAATATAATTTCTTTAAATTTCTTTAATACATAATCAGATACATTTGTGTCCAGCATGTCTCATCTCTTTTCTTTCCAGATCTGTTAAGATACACTGCATGATTCTGTTCTAGCCAACGGTGTCGTCACATCTCCTCATAGCTTGCTGTTAATGTTTTGAACTCGGTACAGTTCAGCCGCAGAGTGTTGGTGCTATGACAAATCAGGAGTGTACTTCTAAGGCCGTGTCTACAGCGCCCTGAAAGCGCAGGTGTGCAGCCTCGCGTTTGTCTCTATATGTGGTGCGTGTTCACACAGAGGGGCCTCCCGGGGCACCTTAAAATGACACAAAAATACAACGCGTTGGTGTCTTGCGCAGAACTAGATTATGAATCCCAAATAAATAAAGTAACTTTACTAGATGCATTTTTCTATTTTGGTTGGAAATGAAGAACTTTCACAGTTTTGGAGGAAGTCTGTGGAACGTTTACACAGAGTAAAAATACACTTCAGGTCACGGTTCCATGCGTGTGAGCGATACGTGGGCCGACGTGCGGGCAGTGTGGACTCAATATATCGGTAGCATATCGCTCAGCTCATGTGACATGCACATCGGGTGTGTCTCCAGAACACGGCCGAAACGCTTTCGGTGTAGACACGGCATAATCCTCCCCCACAGTATTTTCAGACTTTGCTGTGTTTGTCTTCCTGTGTTGTATGTTGACAACCACCACACTGCCCCCTACAGGCTGTTAACAGAGTTTGTCAAAGTAGGGAACCTGCAGGCCCTGAGAACCTTTAGAGTGCTGAGAGCCCTGAAAACTATCTCAGTCATCCCAGGTAAGGTCTCCCCACTGCTAAGAGGTGACAAGGGACAGAAAAAAACAAACAACTTGTCATCGTCGTGAACGTCCTCGCTTGTTTGTCCCATGTCTGCCGTGTTTTGCAGCATCAGCCCCCGCCCACTTCTCACTCTCTGCCCAACCAGAGGTCACAGGTGTATTCGCCTGATCTGCATTAGAGAAACAGTACGGAAGGAAAAGTCAGATACGTCTAAACTGAACGCATGGTTTGATTTAAAATTAGTGGCAGCTTCTCTTTGTGTTGGGACACTTGGTAATATTCTGCCTGTTTTTATATACTCCAACTAGCTACTTGGTGGGTTTAAGTAAGTTAGCTCCTTATAGGTACTACTGTATTTTGTCAAACTACTTTGTTTATAATATGATGATGTCTAAACCTTTTAACCACCCACTGATTTGTTTGCTTTGGAAATGTTAAAAAATATTGTCCACATGGTCAGAATACTGTGTCAAGCTTGCACAGATCGACTTTATCATGTTCAGCCACTTTGTGGTCTCTATATAGCATCATTTCTTAGCTTAGCTTAGCTAGTTAGAAAATTGGGTTAAAAGCAAAACAAGTCCACGACGTCCATGTGAACAGCTTTGACCATCTGGTTTCTCCTTAAAAGTCAGAGTCTGTGGCCTGAAGTTCGACTGTTGTCGTCCAGCCTGGCCTGTCTCTACTGCCTGTCTGTCTCTCTCTCTCTCTCCCTCTGTGTCAACTCGTTATCGTTCAGTGTGGTCATACCCCTCTGTGTGTGTCTGTTTTTGTGCTTCTGTCTCCCTGCTTGTTGCAGATATGTGACTGAGTTTGTGGACCTGGGTAATGTGTCAGCCTTAAGGACGTTCAGGGTGCTACGAGCCCTGAAAACCATCTCTGTCATCCCAGGTGAGGAAGCAAACACGGGGGAGTGAATATCAGACACGCTCCTCGCGGCCTGAGCCTGCCGGATGCCCTCAGTCAGTGGCTGCTTGAAATGCCATCCTGCATACGACCTACTGGACACTGTCCTATCAACTCTGTACTGTTCATTTCAAAACAGTGCCTGTAGGTCTATGCAGAAAGAAGCACTGAAGTCTTCTGACAGTTGGCTGTGAGTGGACATCAGAGGTTCAGCAAACAGCAGATTTCCACAGAACAACTCGGATGCTTAATGAAAGAATCACTCTTTAATGTTTTGTGATACTGTAGAAGTTAAATTCACAGTATAATTGCGATGTTAGCAGTAAATATAGGCCTGCTTTACTGCTGTGTTTCCAACACTACTGAGATAATGATTCTTACGATGCCATTTGGTAACAGGCACTGAAAGATTGTAGTAACCCAGTTCAACATGGATGTTGTGTTTACCTGCTTAGTGTCACATTGCAGATTAAACGTCTGAAGAAAAAAAAAGTCATTTAAATATTGAAATTCAACTCTTCAGCTGCTGGCTAGCCTCTGTGTGCCTTCACTCTGCATGTTAGCATGCAGCAGTAACAGCGCAGGAACTTGTTAACATGTCGTAAACAACTGTCTAATACTTGTCATAACCATTAGGCAGCGGCAGCAACCTGTCAAAAGCATGTCACACATTAACTGCAGCCACAGCTAAATATAATCACACTCAGTCGTGAGTTTACAGATGCCTCTGTGTCAACAAACTGATTGTTTAAGCAAACATCAGGTCGAGGTTGGACCCACATGTAAATAGTTTAGTGTCTGTTCTTCTGTGATTTGGTCCGATCTGGCTGCGGATGGTTGTCTGCACCGTTTATGTTCTGACTGTGTTCCTGCTGTTGTTACCATATGTTTGTGTGTTTATTTATGTTGTGTTACACAGATGTTACTCGGGGCTTGTCGCCTGATTATTTAGTTTTTCTTTTATTTTGTTGGTGGTGATGACGTTGACTTTTTGTGATGGTCTTTTTTTAACATGCTACTGTCAGATGCAAACCTTAAATGTAATTTTCCAGGTTAAAACATCCGAAGGCTTTCATCTGACTGCAACATTATATTTCTGACAGCTTGACTTCTTTAATTGTTACCAATGAATTGTTTTGTGTTTTCTTCTCTCGTGCATAAAGATGGCGGCCCTTAAGTTTCACTCTATAACCTGCCTCCTCAGCTCAAAAACCGAACACATGTGGTACTACTTGGACTCCGTTTAAGTTTGGGGAAAATGTTTTGGGTTTTGCAACATTGGGAAGAGGCTGGAAGCATGTACGTTGAGGTGGCTGCCATCTTCATGGCACCTGAGCAACTGAGTATCTTAGTTCATCCTTAGTGCGTTCAGTTATCAAATAGAATACAACTAAATAGAGAGCATGGTTTTGAGTGACCTCTTTCTGTAACTGTTCTAAAAGAGGAAGAATAGTGATGATAATCTTCTTCTTGTCTGCGTCCGTGTGCCCTGGGTGGCCCCTCAGGCCTGAAGACCATCGTCGGCGCTCTGATCCAGTCTGTGAAGAAGCTGGCGGACGTGATGATCCTCACCGTCTTCTGCCTGAGCGTCTTCGCCCTCATTGGCCTGCAGCTCTTCATGGGGAACCTACGGCACAAATGCATCCGCAACACAACTCAGTGCATTAATGACAGCCTGAGAAACACTACCTTCTACTGCAACAACAGGACGTGGGCCTCCCTGGATGACTTCGAGAATAACGAGGGTGAGGATTCATTTTAGGCTGTTCCTTTGGTTATAATGACTTGGCACAGGCATCATGTTTGTACTTTCTAAAGTAACAGTAACAGAGGTGTAGTGCTCAAACATAAAATATGGTCTTTGCTGTGTCTGAGAGTGTTTAAATCCAGAAGCTCTTTGGCTTTGATATCATCCTGTTTGATCTGCTTGTGCCCAGGGTTTGGTCTAAGACAACATTGTTTGTAGGTTTTTAACTATTATCAGTCATTCCATCACTCATTTAGAGAATAGCAACAGAAAGTGGAAATGGACACTTAGCTAATCATCCGTTCAGGAACCAACTGGTCTGTGTGTGGTCTGGTAGGCGTCACAGCCGGCGCTGGGGAAACGGGGGTCATTCGCTGTTATATGTAGGACTGGGGGTGTTGCAGCAACCTGAGGAGGAGTTTAACATCTACACCCACAAATTACATGCAATTTGTTTTATTTAACCTGTACAAACTGTTGGCAGAAGATCATTTCCATCCTGTCGGTGCTTACACAGCTTTGACATCATGATGTAGCCAGGTTACTGACTGCAAGTGTGTGAAACTGTCAAATAAATCGGACAATCTTAAAATTTCACATTGCTAGTATTACATTTTAAAGAGGAAATTCAGACTCATGACCTCAGTGGTTTATAAAATCCTGGTAACTAGTTTTAGTAAAATAAGACAAAGAAAAGGGACATTTCTAACTTTATCTACCATGAAAAGCATTTGAGTAGAAACAAGACAGTTACAGTAGAAGCCCAGCATGTTCTGTAGAGAGGAGTGTGTATGTGTGTGTGTGTGCTGATGTCAGTTGTAACCGCAGTCCCAACATGACACTGTCCAGTCCATTTAGAAAACGCCAGTCACCACTGCAGCACACACACACAAGGTATGTCGTCAGCATGACGTGTGCACAGGCGGTGTATTGGGAACATACAGTGCAGGATGTGACGCACATACACACAGAGGTTGGGCGAGGTAAGTCAATGCAAATGCTGTACAGTCTGACAGGTCAGACATGGTGACCAGAGAACATGATGTATGTGGACATGTGCACACCTGTACATGTCCTGAGCTAGTGCGTGCTAATCTTTTAACAAAATAAATATACTGCGAATGATATAGTGTAGAAGCACGACATGAAAAGTGATGATGCACATCTTGTGTTTCTTGTCACTCGTCCCGCTCCCAGTCCTGGTTCTGTCTCCCCTGCGTGTTTTCCTCAGCTCTCTTCCTTCTGGATTCTGGTTCTCTTCTCATGGAGTTGCGACGCAAGGCAGTGGGCCTTTGTATTGCAGCTTCTCTTATAATTAAGAGTGGATTAGATTATTTATTAGCTTGCCACAGAACTGTAAACACCTTGGAACAATCCCTCTGCATTCTGAGTTTAGGTTTTGTTTGCCTGGTCTGTTTATGAACTTAGTAGATTTCTCCAGAGCTCAAAGTCTTCAGAAAGGCCCTGCTCACAGTCACCTACTGTTTCCCAGCCTGCTCCGACTGCTGTCTGGCCTCCTGGTCGGCTACATAGCACCGGGTCTGCTAGCTGTCACCATCCTGCCTGCTTCCCCGTCTACCTTTCCTGCTGCTTGCACAGAATAAGAATAGATGTTGTCTCTGTAGACGGCCATCTTTTCAGGCCACTGCTCGTATTAGCCTCCCAGAGCCACTGCTTCTCTGGACTGTTTGCATAAGAAAGTGAGTTGTAACAGCAGCAATGGGAACAAGTCTTTCCTGATTTTATAAGTGAGTAAGTGCAGTTTCAGGTCCGTTGATGAGCCTGTGTAGTAATACACCGTCATTTACAACACTGCTCATGACATCTGTGTAGAGTTGTTAGTAATCACCAGAAACATCCATAAATGTTGTGTGAAGTCTTGGTTTGTCTGAGGCTGTAGCGTCCGGTGTTGCAATGAGTATCAGTGTGAGCTGTGTTATTGGTGTAAACGCAGCTGGTTCCTGCTTCTGTCAACAGTCTGTCACAGAGGCTGTACTGTAAACACACAGGCACACAGAGACACGTATGTACAGCATCATTTAATCCTGTTTGAAGCTGTGATTTATCTAGTGGATTACGGTAAATCCTTCCATAGACCCATTTTCTGCCTTGTAATAAATCAGGCTGCTCTTTGTCTTTTCAACAAGACACTATTTTTAAATCTCTTCTTAGCTGTTGGAAGTCCATAGGTCTGATGATATTGTTAATGTCTTCACGTCATCTGAAGAATTAATATGGTTTAATTCTCTTTCTAGTTCTAGATGTACTGCAGCACCATCATTTGGAAGGGCTCAGAGGTTTCTTCCTTTTTGTTTGTTTCGGGGGAAGCAATGCCCTTTGAACAGAACACAGTCATTTATTATTTTCTTTTGGTCCCTGGAAATAAACAAAAAGCTCTACAGAAATACAAACAATAAAAGATCAGATTTCTAAGCAAGATTAGGAACAATGGAAGTGGATTTACACTAAGTATAAGAGAAGAGATGACTCTTTAACAATACACCCTGCGACAAACAGATTCCCTTGTTACCCAAAAGCAGGTGTAATTATTTAGAGTAATGACATTTGGCTGTGGAAGTGACTGAAGAGGAGGAGGAGACCTGCTCTGATGGGACACAGCAGTGGTCCTACTGCTGCCTTTGCTTCTGTTAAAGACCAACTGACCAAAATAAAAGCTCGCAGTCATGGGATCTGTCTGGACAAGCTACTGATTGCTAATGTACCTTCTCTTTATTCATTTCCAGTGCTTTACCGTCCATCACATCAAACAAATGTCCCCTGCAGGCTCCTGTATCGACCTCTAAAAGCTGCCATGAAACCTGAGAGCAGAGCTGCAGCGTTAGACCTCATCTACATGGCTCATCTGAAAACAGCTTTCAAATGGGAGATCAATGGGAGATCTTCTCCATGCTAAACATTTCCTATCATGCCATGTTTGTTCCGTCTGCCCAGAGCCGGCTGACAGCAGCAGTCTTAGCAGTCTTTCTTGGCGCGTCTTGTTGGAGGGTTCAGTACATTAACATCAAGCGGCGTCAATCCATTTCCTTGTTGTTGGGCAGCAGACTGAGCTTAGGGCCAAAACAGGAAGCAGGCGCTGATTTCTTTTTTGCATTGAATCAGATTGAGTTTGTTTCCCTCCATACAGCAGCGCAGCTTACCGAACACCAGACGCTAACCTTTGGTGATACTCTGTATAATGCTTATTGCCACATGTGGATTAATCAGCTGCTGAAACTAACCCAAATGCACTCCTTGCTCCTGCTTGACTAACGTTGACCGAGTGAAGTCTGCACTCAAGTCTGCAGGTCAGAAGTCTGCAGCTCGTTTGTGGACACACTGTGTTTGATAGCCTAATAACAGCCCGACCCAACTGTCGTAGGGCGTCAGGACCGACTGTTTATCTCACATAGTGTGCCAATATAAACAACAACCGATTCATTAAATATTACAGTGATTCAGCTAATGTTAGCATGTTGACTTTTACAGCCAGCTTTGTGAAGGGGCTACCCTCTCAGGGCTGGATAGTTTTTGGTTTTACTTCCGACTTAAAACATTTATTGTATGGATGCTGATTCAGC